TATTATTATATTAATAACTTGTGAAATTTATTATATGTGTATTTCATACCGTCGGCATATATTTTTGTATATCCGACGGTCTGTGTGTTTTTAATACGAGAAGTATATACTTATTCTTTTATATAGGTATATACAAGGGTTTTTGTTATTGATCAACATGTAAGATATATACGTATATATACCTATATCTTGAAATAATTTGTTATCTACTATATTTGAACTATAGGTAATTAACTATAGTGGGTATTTTTGAAATTTTTACATACTTACCTATACCTAAATAATCTAGTTTTCTTTAGGTATATTACAAGTTTTCCAATTATTCAAGTTATCAATATATATTTTTTCTTGTAATTATTTAATGTTTCCTTTTAACGCTGTTCCTACACGTGTGATGTTATTAAAGTTCCATCAATCGTGTTCTGATGATATTATAATTGATGTTTAACGAATCTCATTAAGGCTGTTACACACCTTATCATTTATATACCTGAATGATGATTAAAAGTTACATCGTGTGAAGCCGGCTTAAGTAATTTTTACGTTATTATGGTTAATTTTAAAGCATTTTTTTTATTTACCAAATTAGTTTCATTTGTGTTTCGATAGTCATGTTATATCATACTTATGAATTAATATAGATTTTTTTTACTTCAATGTAATTTGAACTTAATTTCTACTCACCATGCGATACAAAAATTTACACTTAGGTATATTAAATTTTATTAAATAATATTGTTTTTTTCTATAGGGATGTAATATTAAATCAGTTATAACAATTCCAACCAAAATCCCATATATTTGTATTATTCCGAATCTATCTATATTTAAATCTTCGTAAGTGGATGTTGTATACACCTAGCGATAGGTAGCCCGTGACGTAACGGAGCTGTTCCACTTGCAGATGGAGCTGATGAAACGAGGCCGATAAGGACGGATATATATAACACCATATATGGAAACGAGAAGGCTGTAGGATGTCGACGTCATCTTCAAATGTACCTGAGTATCCAGCGACGACAAGTTTGACTGTCACTGAACTATATAAATTTTGCTAATAATTTTAATTATTTTATAAAATATAAGTTTCATCAATATATTAAGCTAAAGTTCTAGTTATTGGTATTACAATATAATATTTTAGTAATTTTTATTTAATTATAATTGGGTAGTAAAATCTAGTTTAGCCTCAAATATGAATTCATTTATTATTGGTCAGTCATATTACAATGTACTTATATCAAACTTAATATATAAGTTAAGGTTCATGTTGGTTTGTCAAGATTTGTAAATTCAAAAAGGTATACTTATGTATTAGTCTATTTTATTAGTTATATTACTACTATACAACTAGTTTTGTCAAACTTAAATGAGAATTGAAATAAATATTTTTAACTAAATTTTAAAACAAGTATTAGTATTTTATGGATTTCTTTCTTATTTAAAATTACCTACAATAAATACATCTATCATTACATAAATTTAATAATAATAAAATCTAAAATATATTATTCTAACATCGCAACCTGTTTCGCCCAGTGTACAATATAACAAATGAGTTGGGCTGCGTCCGAGTCGCCGTAGCTGGTGGGGCTCGCGAGGCGGAGCGCGCGGGGGAGACGCCCTAAACAAAATGGCTGGCGGACGCGCCAATTTTTGAATTTAGAATGCATTCAAACAAAGGCAACGGTTTTGATACGTACTGACAATAATACTCTGATTAAAAAAATTAAAAATATTAATTATAACCATATTAATGAATCATTGGTTTTTAATCATGTATGAAGTATAAAGCTTTTGTATATTTACATTAAATAATTTACACTGACACATTTATAAAGCCCTTAATATTTTACAACGTGTCATAAATTAAAAGAGACTTCAAGCGATCTATAAACAGATCGTTATTGCGATTTAAGGATCAATTTAAAAGCTATAATTTTTCTAACTCATTCAAAAGTCAATCTTAACACTTTTGAAATAAAGTATACAATAATAATAGCAAAGCTTTCATACTCAAACTATTCTCCAGCGAAATGAGACGAATCCGTCTCGCTTTTGCTTATGAGGTTTACTATAAGTGTGAGAGGGATAGATGATATTAACGAGGTGTTTATCGATACAGCCGCGTTGATTTAAACATTTCCTTTGTAGGTACATTGCAGTCAATAAAAATGTATGTTATGAGACAAGGTCGCAGCGGAGAGATTTATGTCTTCATCGTAAAGATAGATCTTTATACCGGTACCTTTGTTCATGAAAGAATGGTTAATTTATTAGGTTACAATACATACATAATTTTTTATCAACAAACTTATACAATAAGGAATAAACAGTTATTTAAAAAAAATATTATAAAATGGACTCTAATACAATATTCTTTTAGATCAATTTCATTTTAAATTATTTTACTCAGTAATATGATTATTACATGCCGTATTTTTACATATAATAATTTAATTTAACGTCAAAATTTACTAAATACATTATCATTTTAATTATTGAAAACATTATACAATATTAGACTTAAAAAATTTAGATATACAATATTTAGATACATGTAGAACATGTGACCGTGAACCCAATTTAAATGGAGAGGGTTCATAAATCACACTTAGCTATCATTTGTAATATGACTGACCAATTTAACTTGACCCCACAACTATTCAGTACATTGTCATTGAATATATGCACTTCACACATCAAAACTATGAAGATCTTACAACATACAGCCAACATAAAGTTATATAAAAACTCCTTTAATTCCTCGCTGTTTATAAATTTTAAAAAAAAAGACAAAAAAAAAAATCTTCAATTTCCTTGCTTCCAAAAGTGTTCTTAATTTAAATTTCCCGGTATCGAATGTGGGTAACATTAAAAACTCTCGAGCATAACCGCACGCCCATAATCATATTAATATCTTGTAAAAGTCGCATTAGTGTTACATAGGTTGGATTATTAAAAACACATTTGGGTCGTTGTATATAAAAAAAGGCAATTTGGTGATTTTAGGGCGGCAGTGACACGGAAGGTAGACACGCGAATCATTACACTGGTTATTATTTTCATATTAAAATTATATAACACAGATTAGTTCCAGAATATATATTCTATTTCATACATTACATTTAGACTTGGGCCTTTACATTTAGACTGTTGCCATTAAAAAAAAATTAAATATAAAACCTCTTTTTATGTTTTTTTTTTTATGTCAAAGGTATAATAAAAATCTGATGTACAATCATTATGCTTTATTAATTTCATGTATTTATATATTTATGACAATATCGTCTCGCCTAACATTATTACGTCACTAATTATAGTAATATTTCATAAAATTTGAATTGATAGGAAAATTATTGTAAATAAAATCGTCTAGGATCCCATCTTTCTACGGACCTAAATAAAAAAAAATGAAATTCACGAAACAGATACATCTAAAAACGTAACTTAATTAATTCCATATTACAACTAACTTTTAATTTTCTTTACAAAAAAAATCGTATGTCCGGTCGGGATTCGTATTAATTGCACTTATTTCAATATATTGTTGAACAGAAAGATTGAGCAAATTGAAATAAACATCCCAGCCGGACGCCATTGTTCAGCCTACATCGAAACAATAAATAAATATCATGTACAATACAATTTACATTGACTTAACGAACACAGCACAGATAAAAAATATATATATATAGAAAAAAAAATTGCATTATACCTTCAGAATCTTATGATACGTAGGATCTATCAAAGAAATGAATTTAATATATTTTTTTTACAATAAATATAGTTATTGGATCACTGTAGTTAAGTTACTTTACGTATATGGGTTTTCAGGCAATGTTTTTATAAAAATACGTTTCTTGTCTACAATGAGACTAAAATATAAGAGTAACATTGTCATGTCGCTGTTTGGGTCTAAAACCTAACTTTGGTATACTGTGTACACTCTTTCCATCAAGTTTGTTGTGTAGATAATATGATTCACATACAAAAAACTCGGGTAACTTTTGTTTCACTATAATAACATCGAACATTTCCCGTATCTATATTAACTTTCCCACATATAACCCGAAAGAACACTACCAACTTTTATAGAAGTAAGTTAATTTAAGCTTCACCCTTGCAAAAATTTTACAACAATATTAAATATATATATCATTTATTTAATATTTAATTACGTATATTGTGTACCCCAAAATCGTATACATTGCACTTTAGGACTGGCCTCTATCCTGACATACGAAACTGTGGAGACAAATAAATACTAGATTACTTCCTGTAGAACTAACGAGAAATGACATTAGTCGTTATAATAATTATTCACACTAAAACAATTGTACACAATCATATAAACTAAAAAAATCATACTTGTTTGTTTGTTCGTTTATATTTACATAATGTATAGATTAATTAAGAAATAAAACATCGAATATATTAAATAATAACAATATAGTTACTAATCGCCTTCTTATCAATGGTTAATTATAAGAGGTCCTTGCGGTTTTTGTGATTCAATACATATTATGAACTTTTGGTTGATAAAATTGTGAACAGAAATTACTTTTATACATATCTATAAGACATTATATGCAAGGAAATTATAATTCTTGTGCCAGTCAGATAAACAAAATTTATCCAAAAAAAAAACTAGTTACATAATGTAGTCCCTGCGAGCTGTTGTCGCCTCAGTAATCATATACAACGCATATTTTTGGTAATTATTGGTATTGAGATTGTTTATATAAATTAATTTATACTTAACAACTGTAAAAATCTCTTCACACTAGCATTACTCTTTACTTCAAGTCACTAAGTTACGTATTAGTTTAATATAATGTTATATTATTTAATGTCCAACGTATGTAGGTACATTTTATACAAATCAAACATTAGAAACCCCTTTAGCCGTATCAGTTATTGATCAACACATAATTAGTATGAAAATAAATGGACAAACCAATAGTGGCTTAAAAGTCGCTTGGACCGAGATAAGGTTTCTATTGTGGCGATGTTGGTGGACTCATATTATCAGGTTCGTCTCCTGAACCTGGTTCGCCTTTGGTTTTGTTCTCCTTCTTCCATTTCATACGTCGATTCTGGAACCATATCTTGATCTGCCTCTCAGTCAGACACAGCGCGTGAGCTATCTCTATGCGTCTCCTCCTCGTCAAATAGCGATTAAAATGGAACTCCTTCTCCAATTCCAGGGTCTGGTACCGGGTGTACGTCTGCCGACCGCGCTTCCGCTCTGAAAACATTTAATATAACAATTAAAAATCATAATTGACAACCCTGAATACTTAAAAACTGCATAGGCCGTGATAAATGAGTGTTATTTGTAAACTCGAACACTCCCGCGCGGAGTTAATTGAAAATTGTTCTGAGCTTATCAATTTGTTAATTGTTTTTGCTTGTTCGACATTTCTCTTGACTGTCAGTGATAGCGGGCTAAGTTAAATTGATCATAAGGACGTTTCGTGTACTAAAACAATTTGTTATTGTAAAAATAACAAATATACAAACTTGACATTCAGTCTTTATAAACAAATTTGAGGAAAAAATTTATTTATTTTTATTCAAACAGAGATAATTTTATTTTAATATGTCTTATTGATACAAGGAAAATTAATCACGCATATGTTATTTTGTATGTTCATGACGAAGACGCCGCTGCGCTACCGAAGGCAATTAGAAATCATTTCGAACGCCCCAAGCTTTTTCCATTACGTTATGTTATTTCCCAACAAAAAACCCATTATAATATACTTTGGATACATCGCTTATACTATCGTGACATTCAATCGTCATCGAAGGGAAACAAATGATAAATTTACTAGAAAGTGATACAATTATACAACAGAAAGCCGGTACAGAATGAAATGATTATTTTAGTTGTAACGAAAACACGCAAAATAAGCTCCAATACAAGATAAACACGCGAACTTCGAAGAAACTTGTACACGATACTTGGATTACTTTGCGAAACGATTCACAGTTTCTGAGAAATAATATTTATATTATAAAAAAAGGTATACAGACAGACACACGCCTCAGAAGCGAGGTGACAAATGTTTTATTCAATTCTAATTTCTGTTGAGTCAAGTTAGATTGCTTTTGTTTGTTCTTTAATTTGTAAACGATTATTTTCTTTTTAAATTAAAAGCATGATCCGTAATGACTAATAGGCATTATAAAACAAATTACTATTACCATATCTATATTAAAAGTATTGTTAATCGTTCAAACGACTTATTGTTTCTAAACACGCAAGTTTTCCGTTGTCTAATCGAAAACGACTAAAACGTCGCTACATTCTGCAAGTGCAGTACGGATTCAATATTATCGACCACTTGTTGCACAGAATTGATAACGATTCATCGCAGCCGCTTGTACAATTTAAGTACAAATTCAAGATTTGAATGACCGAATAGTATTATACCTAATTACTCTTCTGTGATTTATTATTCTATGATATTTTATGACTATATAACTTTACGTTATGAATCACCAAAATTTAAAGTGACATAGTAAACTTGAAGTCAGACGGAAAACAAAATCATATAGGATATCATGAAATCCCCTTCTCAGCGGGCTTTATATATTACGTTGGCGGTTTCATCGCGCACTCAGATGCATAAAACATGATCCCGACGTCAGATTTAAACCGTACGTAATAAGAGCATTACAGGGACCACGCGACTGGCACGGAACGACTTCATTTATGTGTTACTTCACACTGACTTGTATGACTAATATTCATTAATACACGAACTCATTTTAACAACGGATTGGATGTTTAAACTAAAGACGAATATCTCTTATACATATATGAAACTGTTTTCATAGTAAAATAGCGTTCGATTTTATAGTAATATATCAAAATATCAGTAAATTCATATCAGCGTTCCAAACGCGGCGTTTCAAACGCCCGTCTGTTCTTTAGTCGTCACAACGCTGCATGTGTCGCGAGGCACACATAAATCATCGATACAAAGTCGCTGCCCGGCTTACTTTCACAGCTAGACTAGATTGAGAATACTTTACACACTATTAATATTATCTTTGATAATATATAATATATACGAAATAATGTTCAAGAAGACTGAAAGACTTTTCTTTCAAAGTTATATTTGGACTTATGGGATTTTTTGTATTAGGTACTTAAGTTAGGCATAATATGCATAATGGTAAATGCAATGTGTCCTAGCTTAGACCGTCTTGGTAAAGTTTTTTATTCAATAATCATTATTGACTTGTATCCTAAGTTAAAACCTACACAGCTAGAAAGCCTCGATTTTAAAATCGCCTGAGGTCTACGAAATTAACAAAACAATAAGCTTAAGGTCAAATAATACTATTACAGAAGAAGAGTTACTAAAATATTGCCTGTTTCGATTAGGTACCAATTATAAGATTCAAGAATAGGTACAGAAATATGGTGGAAAAAAATTTTTTTGCTTTTTCATCATTATTAATTAGTCTTGTAATTATAGCCATCTTCAGTTTCTATATAATTAGCTGACGAACAGACATACAATCAGAATAAAAACGTGTAAATGTATAATGAATCTTTATAAATCCGGTAAAAACTTTATTGAATAATGTAAAGTGATTATAATTAAATCATAATTTAAATTTCAAGAGCCTAAAATCATAGATCAGTGGTGGAAGTGAAAAGAGCTTTTAATTTAATTCGTTGCGGTATCGCCAGTGAAATATTAAAAAAAAAAATACAGCAACAGCTTGAAGCGATATCGACAATACATAATTCATGTCCAACAATTTCATACGTACGACAAACGGGACGTTATAAAACATTATTTGTGTACAAGCGAATTATTACTTTATACTGTTGCTGTTTGAGTCCAATTTGTCCTGCCCGATTTATTGTTATTCGCCCTCAAAGAATGTACAAGCCACTCAGTGTATTGCAACACCGTACACGATATCAAAAGGATATTCATATTAATGCAATTTCTCTTAAACGCTTACACGTCGTAAATGAAATTGCCGGTTCAAACGAGCTATGGGAACTTAAACATAGTTTTACTGTTAATGTGTATTAAAGTGAATATTAGTTAAGTTGTGTTTTAGAAAAGAATTTTGTAATAAAAATAAACTTCTAAATTAACTCTTAGAAAGTTTAGAATATAATTCGTTATATTTGGTCCCAGTTAATCTTCACAAAATTTGATGTTATAATGTTTTTTAGCAACATCAATGCGTACTTTTTTTATGAAACACGAAACAAGGAAATAATTATTGATACGAATACAAAAAGAACAAAGAAAAAACATGGAGGCCTTTGAAGCTTTGAAAATCATTAATCATTAGTTGGGCGGGGGCAGACGCAATCTTCGTACACTCAACCTATATTATATGTAATATATATATTTATATATACTAATGACCGCGTGTATATAACACACATTAATATCCTGTTTTGCTTGCGGCTGTGATCCTAAAACAATAACATATGGCAACGTTTTTTGTTGCTCTCTTTGACTATTCTATGTAGTTTTATGTTGTGACAGTTTATAATATTCTATTCGTTATTTTGAATGTTCATAATATTTTAATTTAGAACCAATATAGAAATATTTAAAAATTATGAAATGTTTTTATCAAATTCGAATATAAAGAGAATACGTCATTATACATAGAACTCTGTCACAATAATTGTTTTATTAAAATGTTATGAATATATAACATTCATAACAGAACCTTTGTTTTGAAAAGGATTTATGTCTCGAATACAGAGCCATCAGTCAGCCTCGTGTCGACGGTGATAGCCGTCGTGTTTCGCATTCGTAATGGAATGTTATTCAACGAATTTGCTTCGGTGTGCGATAAAAATTACGAGACTCCCGGCTCGGATTGAACCAAACACAGCCCGCAACAAAAAAAAAGGTGTCAAATGAAATATTCAAATATATTATAATATAATTCATGACGGCGGGCGTTTCATTTCTCTCCCCCGTAATGGAATGCTAAATTTTCAGGCGAACAAAAAATATATATTAATGCGCGTACCTAATAGCTTATACAAACTCGTTTGTTGGGTATTGTTGTTCACAATGGATGCCATAACTCCGCGTCGCAACCACGGTCGCTGACGTCTTTGTTAGGCCCGGCTAGCTTTGTTCGACACCCGACTCCGTCTGCTGCCGTGATGTCACCCGAGCAGCACCCACACCCACACCCACACCCGTTATTAAATACGATCCCGTACACCGCCGCACAATATTCTAGTTCAATTAACTAAGTAAGAAACTAATAGCTTTTAAAAAATCGTAATCCATTACAGGAATTCTGTTTTCCGTGTAGTCTAATTACAGGCTGTTGGAACCATTACCGTAATTTGCTGGGAAGCAGGAATGAATATTTGAGAAGGCGATAGAATGTGAGTAATTGCTTTGGATCACGAAGCGAAAAGTTATGAAAGGTGTTAGCGAGGGTGATTTGTCAATGCCCGTCATGGACGCGGAAATCTTAATGAAAAAAAGTATTAAATCACTGAAGCGGTTTTGTTTGATTGTGGTAGCGTTGTGGGTTCAAATTGGTAATGTGTATGGAGAGATTCATCAGGGTGAAATGGGGTGTACGCATTAGGGGCGTAAGACGGTTTACCACGGTAGGCCCGGGAGGCCCCAGGAGGCCTCAGAACGCTCCAGAGAATATTTGACACGGGTCTGGCAGATAGACAGGCCGGTCATGTGTGATCGGAGCAGGAAATAGGGACTTTTTTCCGCGCCTCCATACATATACCTACGTACTTTATGATTTACGAGCCGGCGATCCACATGTGTATGTGATATTTTTAATCCACTAATGATAGCGGCTTTCGTATTAATGAGTTAATATTTTCTGTATATTAAATAGCAGCAACCCTATTTGATGTGATTATTTATTGATAATTTTAATGAAGTTTCTTTAAAGTATATTAATTTTGAGTTCTTCGGTTTTGATAATTGATTTTTTATGGCTCATAATAATTCTCGTCTCAGCGGTCAAAGTTTGATTAGCGTTGTAACCCAACATTTAATTAATGTAAGTTACCCCAAGTTCTTGGTCGGATACCTATCATGGCAGGGCCGATGTTGCTATGTTACCAGATAATAGAATAAAGTTTCTTTAGAACTTAGCAGTTTAGTAAATTTAGGTTGAGAGTTATGACTTGTTATAAGACGATATACAAAGTACTTCGGATTATATGGAAAATAAAAATTTTTCGAAAGTGCTATCGATTATTGGATTAAAAAAGTGTTTTGTGAAAGATTTGTATGTGTGTTGCAGCTTTGACTGTGTATAAAATTATTTCGACTATTTCGGTGTGAGCGTGTAATTATATTTTTTCCGGTTCTTCATATAAAATATTTTTAGTTTTATTGTATACCTACCTACATTATAATGTTATAGCAGTTGATTATTTATGAAGAGTCTAATTACGTTTTTTATTGAAGAATTCATATGAATACATGAATACGTTTGTAACTATCAAAATTAGTGTCTCTCACATAATTTATTAGTATAATAACCATTTTAAAGCGATTAATTTGATAAGTAAAATATTTTAAAACTTATTTTTCAAAACAACGCCACCTATTGATGGAAGGTCAAACTACGTAAACATGTAGCGCGTAATTGATTGCTGTTCACAGCACGTTCTTATAAGGATAAATATTTTGAAACAATTGTTCAAATATATTTATATCAAACTCGACATATATGTTAAAAACTGATTGATGTGCATTCTCTGAAAGATTCGCCATGTATACCTAAGCAAATACAATTAATTTGTCTTTTGATGTCCGTCATAATGTTTTAATCAAATATACAAATCATGTAAAGAAAACTATCATACGCAATGTTCGCGATTAGAATCAGTTATGTTTTAAAACATGTTATACGTAAAACAATTCTTTATATACCTCCTCGAGTTCAAAGACGCCGAAACAAAAATAATATGAGAGCGAAAACCATCCTTCAACGTCGGTAGCACTACCGGCCCTCACCGGAAAGTTCGTGGCAAACGAAATTAGAAATGTATTTTTACAGTGCACCCTCTTAAAAAAAATCTTATGCAAATAACAGCATATGTAAGGGGAACGTTCGAGATATCGCGCTAAAATATTCAATAACAATAATATTTGTGTATTCGAATGCTATTTAGGGTGTGAGAAAATGGGGTTTATTTAGGAGGGTAGGAGTAGTCTAGCTAATACAAACTAATACTAGGCGAGGATCAAGGATGTATTTAGCGATATCTGTTAACATTACACAGGAAATAAGTATTTCAGGTCCATAGAAAAGGGGAAGCCCCTCAGCGCCAAAGAATCGGAACCTCAATCTGGAAAGGCATTCACCACCATTGTTAAACCGACAATCGACAATCGATCAATGGTGAATGAAATCCACAATGGCTCTTATCAACCGTAAGTAGGTAATGCTTTTGAATGAGGAAAAATACTTCACATTTCTATTCCCTTATATATTGATTCAGAATATTTATTTTAGTTTTGAAGAAGAAGGATCCATGACGTTACTATTAATAGTAAAACATAGATAATAACAATGATTATAATCAATTAATTATTAAAATATTATTAACTAAATATAGCAATAAAGTCTCATCATCAATTCCATTTAATGCCAAACGATTCGGTCTTTCATTTTCAAACGTGGAAAATCAGAAGCAGGCGGCAAACAAATTCTTGTATTCAATCATCGTGGCTTCACAAAGGCCTTTGGGCTGATAACTGAACAATGAAATGTAACAAGTCGTTCATTCGGCATTGTATGAGCTGGTCGGGGCTAGGGGGGGTGAGGCGGGTGATATTGGGGGTTGAGGGGGGGGGGGGTGCTACCATTATATTTCCATTTCCACGTCGATTTGCGCCGACTTATCGCTGGCTACCGTCACACAGACCTGGCAAGTCTATCTTTCTATGCCGTTAGTCAGTATAACAACATATCAACGAGATAAATTTATGAGAAAAAGTTACATATATAGTATTTATAGTATTAAAACTATAAGATAAAGGAATAGTTCTGTATAGAGTTAATTAGAGACGATATACAAGATGAGGAGTATATAATAACAGATGTATCATTACATATTAGTGGTAGGTGTAAGATTCTGTTCACAAAATGATTAACGATGTGTCTGCTACGAAGCGTTCTATTTTAAAACTCAAGATGCATTCCGATTGGTCCATTTTTTAGAATGGAAGCCGAATTTTGAAGATAATTAATGAATTTTTACTGGTATACATATCTTGATTCTTGAGTACTGTTTTAAGTATCGCTACTGTATTTTTCATTAAGTAACAAGACTGTCGTCTGATTCTTGAAATATTTTAAGTTCCTTCAGGGTGGTCTATTATATCTGATAATTCTTGATACTTAATATCTTGTTAGTCTTATCTTTGTGCGTTTCAAACTGTATTTAGTTTCTTTTTATAATGGTTACCACTAATATATAATTACTATATACTTATATGGGCCATATAAAATTTTTGCAATGTATAGTTACTACACGTAGGACTGTGTGCTATAGAACTGTGAATTATCACATTGATGTGGGTTTTAAGTGTTTTATCAAAACTGCCAGATAAAATCAATCTAGAAGTAGATTTAAGACCTGGCTACCATGAACTGAATAGTTGCATTTAACCTACGCTCTATGAAGTGTAGAGATAGTTATCTACATCTGAGGTCGAGTGATTTGACAATTAAGATAAATAAATTTTTGTATAGTAAAAATACTATAATAAGCTATTGAAAAATACAGTGGAATTGTACACTTATTGAAAAAAAATCTTTCAATAGTGAAATTATATTTTAAAGATCTAGTTTTTTCGCATACTCTCTAATGAAGTCATTTTATTATGACTAAGTATTAAAAGTTATGGTTATTATCTACACGTCAAGGGGACAATTATATATTCCTATAATTAAAACCCATATACCTTATAATTTATATAATAGAACAAAGTAGAAGTCATTTTTGTTCATAAAGTAAACAGTGGTACCTTATATGGAATTTTCTTTTCGGGTCGTCTGAAGAAACAAACTTTAAGATAAAAATAACATAACAAAGACAGCACTACTTGATTTATTCATATCTATATTTATTATTCTAGATGTCTTCTCCACTTAATATCACTCGCGAGTTTTCAAGGATTGTTAAACATACGCATTAGCATAAGTACGGCTCGGATGTGCGGATCTAACTAAAAGATATTTGTATTGGAGTGAGACGTTTCAAACGATCACAATAGAAACATTGAATTAGCGACTGGGACATAAATTAAATTTTAGACAATTCAAAAACAGTAGGAGTCGGTAGCGCAACTTAAAACCGCTTTGTTCGTGATCGTTGTCAGCAAAACAGAAGGTGAACCTTTGTGTCGGGAGTTGTAAATTTTATGAAAAGTGAAATTCCTTTTGAATGCCTCTTCGGTCCATAAATTACTAGGGATTAGACGACGCTATTGTTTTTGGCACTTTTGTTAGTCAATGCAGGCGGGTGGTGAACGAATTCGCAAAATACATTGCTACCTGTTTATACGTTGTGCAAAATTAACTTTCAAACGTCTTTCACTTTCGTTTCCCTATATTAAAAAAATGTATTGTAACCCTGAATACATTATAGTAGTTTCACTTTTTGAGTATACAGTATCTAAACGAAATATTTTTGTTAAGAAAAATATTGGAATATTTTATTCAACTTACCAAATTGACTTCTCATCCAAGGGTAGAGCGGACTTGGTAACGATGCGTTGGTGTTTGGCGGTGGTTGTTGTGGAGGCGGCTGCTGTGCATGCATCGACTGCTGATGCATGGGAGGCATCTGCGTCTGGTGCTGCATGTCGTCCACGGGGTACATGAGGTGCTGCTGGTGCGGCATCCCGTGCTGGGCCATGTGCTGCTGGGGGTGCATGTGGTGAGGCATCTGCTGCGCCTGCTCCAGCGGGGGGCTGCCAGGGACACCGCCCGCCATCGCGGCCGCCGCTTGTACTTTGCACGACGAAGGGTACACCGCTGGAGCCGGTGGTTGGTGTCCATTAGGGCCGTATCCATCCGATTTCGGCCCCATATGACCCATCTGTGACGGACTATCAGGCCGATATCCATTCTGTTCCATTTGTTGATAGTAACCCAATCTGTCGTATGGTGGGAACCTCGGGTAGGGCATCCCGGGCGCCGTCTGCGCGGAGTAGTGATGCTGGGCTGGCCTGAGCTGTTGATCACAGCCGTCCATCTCGTGTCCCTGCTGCGGCACCGCACCGTAGTGCGCGTGCGCCTGCTGGTGGTCATGGCCGCCGTTCCTCATGTCTGGGACGTATGCGTTAGAGAAATATGTCATGTTATCGCAACTGTTGGCGCTCATCGCGGGCCCACAGCCCGCGTGGCTCGCGTCCGTATCTTCCGTTGCAGGTTTTCGGCCGAGGAGGCCGACACTGTCACTATATCCGTCCCTCACTACACAAACACTTCGGATTCCATTCACTGAACAGCAGCAGTTGATTCCACTTCCACTGTTGGTTCACGATCAGCTTGCGGACGATGTATCCTCATCAGAAACTCAGCTAATCTGGAAAAACACGAGAGGATATATTGAGCAAGTTAATCATTATATTTGATTGAAAAATTGGTTCACTTAAACAATCATCTGTACTAATTATACTATCTACAGCTGAGGGGAAGCTTTTCGAAAACATACCACCTCCGTAAACTTGACCGATTGCCGCAGCATGTTCAACAAAACTACGGAAGGAACAGACGTGATGTTTTAAAAATCTAATTAGTTTCAGTTATCGTCCATTAACGACAACCTGTTCGCAATATGTGTACAGGGCGGTATCATGAGTGCGTCTTTGTCATACTCATGACACTCATTCCTCAAAAATGAGACAGTTACATGATATACCTACTGTCTCGGCGTGACATGACCCGGCGTCAAATCCACGACACTCATGATGGAGTATGAGTGACAACGCACGACGCGACGCCACGTTACATCGACGTTAATTTGTAGCGAGATACGAGCGACATTGTAACATCATACACCGGTTCTTAAGAAATTTACGAGCCACTTAAGTAGACGGCTACTAGAATTAAGTTAGTCCGAATAATAAAAATTCTATGTACATGAAACATTATACGACTACTTTAGACAAGATCTTAGTGAGGAGACGTGCTTCGAGATTATCTTGTTAACGAGCGGTGTACGTATCAGCTACTGAAAACATATTTGGCACATCGATACAAAGAAACGTCGTAGTTTTGATATGGTTTGTTAAACTTATGTATTAAGTAAAAAATATACACACTAATATTTGTATCCGCCCCTAGCGAGTGTCTTCGTTATTTAAAACCGAAATGTTCAAGCTTCATTAGCAACATTTAATGAAGGCGGCGTGACACAAGACAATATGTCCCTTACGAATGTTTAAATATATATATAGTGTATACTACAAATACATATAAAGACAAGGAATCTTAAAGAAATATTACAGTAAAACATTCGTTACCGATGTTGTGTGTGATATTAAATTTTCATGAATTACTATTTCAAAGCACAAAGACAATTGAAAGGTGGCTATTCGGAAAATTTACATGTTGAGGGATGGACAATTTAAATTTACGATTGAGCAGACCCCCCACGTAGAGCGACCCTCGCAATTTTTTTTTTAATTTTCAATTTCCATTTACATTCCAGCAAGTAGGTCCAATCTACAGAGTTCTACGCTTTAAAAATCTTGTCTCATTAAAAACTTCCGAATAGAGATTTATTAGGAGGGTGCGATGCATTTGAATTACAATCAATAAATAAAATATACTTGATTTTATTTACATATCACTTGATAGATTCAAAAAATACCACCAATCATTGGAGTTATGACTAAGATATTTAATACATAAGTTGTCTTAACCAGTGAGTAAATTCCTTTCTAAATAGCTAAGTGTTATCAACTTTTTAATCAGCTGCGTATATGAGCTAATGTTTCTAGTCTACAATTACGAATCTGATAAATATCTCAACTCATTTCAAGGAACATGTCTTTAAACTGACCGACGAGGAAATTAACAGTCTTACGTGCCTTTGATAATTTGATAACCGAATCGCGTTGATTTATTTCTCTTATGAGTCAGTTCTGAGTTCCCATGCCCTATGCTTTACTGACCGAAACCTGTACACGCTATTATAATCCTTGTTACCATAACAACATGTCATATAAATGAGTGTTATGATATTTTATTTATTTCTTAATTAGGTTGCTACCTGGTAAATGGAAGTTCTCAAGAGATATACGTCAAAGGTGAAGTTTAGATTACTTTTAAGAAATACATAGGTATTTTTATGTCTGTTATATAAAACTTCTGTTCAGTATTTCGTGTATACTAATAATGTTATAAATTTTAAAAGTAGACACCATGATGTATTTGACAAGTCGTTTAATACTACATGTGATGAATAACTATAGTATATTATTTTTAATGAGGTAAATCCATGAAGTGATAACGTATAGAATATATGTCATGTCGAGAAAATAATTAATGAAAATACAAAAAAAAACCAGTAGGTATATTTACGACATTTTAGAAAAACATTTGTCACACTGACGCTTACAAAAGTTGAGAATTAAATAGATTTAAAGGAAAAAAAACTATGATAAGTTTCAATACGTAAATAATAGTATTGATTTTACATAATATATGAAAAAAATATTATATATTAAAAAAATTATTGACTAAAGTATCGTTAATCACCTGTTATATAAAGAATATGTATCGTACGAGATATTTAGGTTTGAATTAAAAATAACATTAATACAAATCTCGTCGGACAGTCTGGTTGTTCATCACGAGCAGATCAAAGGATATATTTGAGTCCCACGTATACATCATATCCACTATTTGTCAATTAGTGTTCTATTGTGGGCGCGTTAAGTGTTTTTTGATTTATTTAGGTACATATTATTATTATAGTTTTCTACGTCATAATCATATAGTACTAAGATGTTTTTTATTTAAGATGGAGACAGAGATTTTAATTTTATTATGATTTATATCAATTTTATATTAATGTAAAGTTATTGGCTTCAATATAAGATAAGAATATGTGTATGTTTATTAAAAGTCGATCACGTTTTAGTCATGAACAGATTCGATTTCGTATATATAAGCAATAAATATATTTATAAATAATTGTCCTATGAGTAGGTATCTTCTAAAACATATCTATCTACTATTTTTTTTGTTCTATTCTAATCTATTTCTATAGTTATTTAACGATAAGATAATTTCTACTAGACGGTCGATATCTTGAGACGTATCTCAGGTCTGTATAGGCGTATCTTAAGACGTGTATTAATTAGTTAGCTGGTTTATATTAATCTCAATGCTGTTTCTTTAGATCCTTTACTAATTATACTACTTATTTAAATACATCGGTATAAATGTGAAGAGTTGTTTGTTTGTGAGATCAGAGACATTGAATATTATTCGGAAGTATAATTATGTGTTAGCTCATTACTACTACGTATAGACCTATATAGCACTTAATTTATTGTGTAAAATTATTTTAATCAAACATTAATTGCTTGTACGACATATATGATTTAAAGAAAAAAATTTGGTCTATTTATTTCAATTAAAAAAATCAAAAATCTTCCTTTACTTTAATCACTGAATCCCGACTCATTCAACGGTCAAGTTTAAAACGTGTTATAAAACACAGAAGGGTATTTTACTTCTGCTTGTAATTTTTTTCCCTGTCGTTAAAACTGGAATATAAACAGCCCTCTAGAGTGAATCAGGCACCGCTGAGTGAAATGCGATGTACCCACTAATTACCAACTTCCAAAATTTAATTTACAACTTGCGTAATGTCAAAGGATTCATAATTTTTCACCTAATTATAACAGACCCGTGACGATACTGAGCCTGAGTGGAAATGTATGTTTTAATTACTGTATTTATATATGTGTTAGATCTATCGATACAAGACAGCTATGTATGGAAAATATTTGAAATATATAACCTTTTGCTATTAGATAGGTAGATGAATTTTAAATTAGTTACGTTAAACCTTAGTTAATAATAAAGGTTATTAAATAATAATCTGTTCTATACGAGGGTCGCAGGTAGAGGAATCTGTTAATCAAAGCGAACGCTATCAATTACGGCCGTGCAATCAAAATGTCTGACATTCCCGACTGGCTCTGAGGCTTGTCTTCAAAGGATTATAGAGATGGATTGGTGTTATGTATTGTAATTGAAATACAATTATATATTATTTTATATATATGACAAATATATCGTAGTCACACTATTTGAAAATATGCTTAAGTCCATCAGTTATGTTGTTTTTTAAATATTATGTAATGTTATGAAATTCGTTACTCATACGTGAAGTTTTGCATTTATCTATGACTGTATCTTCATCTATAATTGATTGAGAATATTATGTAACTGAAGTGAATTGTATATTTTTTGTTGCTATCACGCTTATAATTATATTTAATATTAATAAGCTATTATGAGTTATTTTTAACACGTTATTGTATCTCGTGCCATTAGTTCACAAGATGGCCACGGCGCTAGCGTCGCATTATCTGTGTTTAATTAACATTGCGAACATACCGACTAATATTGGCCTTAGTGATTTATTGCACGACACCTTGTAATTGCATGTTTTGCAACTTTATAGATGTAAAATATATATTACTTGTTATAATGGTGACATGATCTGGTAAGTATTAATAACTATATTTAAAAAGGTATCAATCAATTATGTTTAACTGTATTATATTTGTGTAAAACAATCATTTTATAATGTAGGTACTAATTAAAGTTAAATATAATTAAAATGTTTAATGTGAATTTTATTTTTAAAAAGTTTTAAATAAAATAAATAAAGTAAAATTACCTCTATTTATTTTTATTCCCGCGCCACCTAGTAGTAAAAGTTGGAAACTTGTAACAAAAAGCGGCATCTATCAGTTTCTATACGCACTATAAAGAGAAGATATACAGGGACAAGACGAAATAGTTCTTGACTTTTCTGTCTAAAGTTATGTATCATCCGTAATTTTTAATTTCTATTGAAGTTAAGTTGGTTTTCGATAAAATATTGGTCCAAAACTTATAAATTGGATGAATTTCTACCGTTAATACCTCGTGTTATAATTTTTATTGGACCAGCATTTAATAATTTAGTTGTAGTTTGTAATACTTTATTTATAAAGTTATTTATTTTTATTTTGTAAATTACTTAAATTATATTGTTCTCAAAAGCCCCATCTATAAGTTTATAAGTAAACGAGTAACATCCGCGCCTCACGAATTTTGAAAGTAATTTTTACTACTAGCCTCTCTTGTCAA